CAATTTTATTAGGCTCAGTTGAAAATTATTTTGATGTTATTGTATTATGTGAAACATGGCTTTTAAATGACTATCAATTAAAGTTAAATGGGTTATTGGTATATAACTAAAAATTCTTTAGGGATTTTTAACAAAAACGATGGTGTTACAGTCTTAATTAAACAATCCATTAAATTGTTACAAATTGAAAAACAAATCATATTAAATCGTAATTCAATACATACAACTTATATTTCAAAATTTCAAATAGACAAGTTAGTATTTTCACTTATCTGTATTTATAGATCTCCAAATGATAACTTGGAATTATTTCTCAAAGGTTTAGACTTAATTTTATCTCAAATTAATATACGCTATAAAAGTATTATTTGTGGTGACATAAATATTAATATAATGAGAAACACAAATTCTAGCAATGGATATTTAAATATTATGGCGAGAAATGGATTTTTGCCTTGTATTAACAATTTCACTAGAGTAACTAATCATTCAAAAACTTGCATTGATCATATTTTTATTAAAAACATTGATTCTAATACAGTAATATCTAATATTCTAAGGTGTGATATAACTGACCATTATCCCACAATTTTGATTTTATCCAATATTAATAATAATGAAATAATTACTCATAACAACTTATTAATTGTAAATAAGATTGACATCAATCACTTAAATTTATTAATTCGAACTGAAAATTGGTATACATGTTTGAATCCTGATAATATGATWAAAGTCTTTAACTCGAAAATAAAAGAGTTTATTAATTACTCTACCATTTTCAAGTATAAGATTAATAAATCTAAAAAATGCAGAAGCTTAAGGATTGGATTACTACTGGTATTGTAACTTCTATTAGAAATAGGGAAAAATTATATACTAAATTGAGATCCAGTCCTTTTGATATTAGATTTAAGCAATACTAAMATTTGTACGAAAACATAATTTATTATTAAATAAACTTGTACGTCTATCTAGACAATTATATTATCAAAATAGATTACAGCATGCTCAATCTAATAGTAGGGGAATGTGGGGCAAAATGGGGACGATAAGGTTTTAGTAGGAATAAAATGTTAATTTCACGTGATATTTTTCTAAAATTGGATTCAAATGATCTTTATGTTGTCTAATATAATACCACTATCAGCTAATAATAATAAAATAATTTTTCACTTAGTAAAAATTAAAAACTTAAAAAGCTCATTTAAAAAATAAATTATTTTTTGCTAATTTTTTTATTTAACATACATATTTCAACGTTTATTGCATTTATTTATGCATATTTAAGATTTTTAGCACATATTTGGTTAGTTTTCAATGCATATAAATCCGCACTCTAGTGTCTAGTCATGACCATTGACTATTGTATTTGTAGGTACTCGTATAGTTATTAGCTAATTTGAAGTTAAATTATTTGAATATAGAAGAGTGGATTATAGTTACTCATCATAGGTCGGCCATCGTGGATGTTAATCAAAGTAAAATTGATATTTCGTAATGACTATCGTGGCATCGAGAAAAAGTTTTTTTTAATATTTTATAAAATAAATATTATAAATTGTGGATAATAAAATTGTTTAAATTGTATGTAGGTAATTGGTAAATATGGATCTTTTCCATTCAATTAACTCTGGTAAATGACTCTGTACCGAAAATCTTGTCCTTTAGATTTTATTAGGACTATTTACATTTTTGGGTAAGGGCTCCCATTCGACTTTAGGGCCCTCAATCTGCAGGTATCTGATTGTGCCACTGGGTAGAAGAATAGATGTCGAGATGACAACATTTGATTATTATGAATTATGATTGTACCAACCTCTAAATCAAAAATATTTTACATACAGAACAATGTTTATAACTGATATGACTGAACAATTCAAAGGTTTTGTCAATTACTTACCTTTTGATTTATTGATAGTCAATATTTCTTGCTAGACATAAATAATATTATACTARACAAGCAATATTTAAGTAAAAATAATGACTGGAAGCTTGATACCTATAAGTAGATACCTAATGGCTAGTGGGCTACTAGGTATACTATATTTCTAACAARCAACGGATTCATACTATATGAATATACGTATAATAATAGACGAACGGTACAATAGTGCAACAGGAAAATAACTTTTATTTAAATATGGCTTATAAAATATTTTATAAAAAATAATAATAATAATATATTTTTCAATAAAACAAATACAAGAGAATAAAGTGTTGGATTTCTGGTCCTTCACTCTGTGCTAAGCTATAATTTTTCACAAAATCTTTAAAATAGAACCAAAGAATATCATTCTTAGACTACACCCATATAACATATACCTTTGACCCTTATTTAGAAAAGAATAATTATACCTATTTATTATTAACTGAATTAAATCATAGTATGTACCAGTKTACCTATACGATATCTTCTACCTAAAATTACTTAGTATATATTTATTGTTAAAT